AAACCACCAAGTTAAAGGCAGTGTCTCACCAAAATTTAGTTGCCGAGATTTTCGCATTTTTCAAGCCTGTCGGACCCTGTCTAGCACTGTATGGGTTCAAAATCGCACGGAGTTCCCAAAAACCCCGTTTTCTGGAGGCCCCGCGTAAGCAACGTGGACGAGTTGTTCTTTCCAACTTCAGCCTCAGCCACAGTGGCAGCAACACAGGGGAGGTAGATGCCAAGTGGATGGACATGTTCAAACGCGTAAGGGGGGAGACCGAAGGAGTCGTCCGCGCGTACCAACTCGCTCTCCGCGTACCACTTTGAGCGATTTTTTCTCAGCGTGGAGGGGGTCAAATTGAGTGGGACTTGCTGCAATGGCCTATTTGGAGGTCCCTATAATAGAATATGTGGAGATCCGCGCGACCTCGACTTTGGTGAGACACTGCCTTTAAGGTTTCAGATTTGGTGATGTGCTAACCTCTGCTTTATACGAATTTTCTAAGTTTTCTAATTCAATTTGTATCTCTAAATTTTCGTCTATTTTTCTAAAACAACCTTCACTTTTTATAGGGGGCAAGAACTCAAACAACTATCACTTTCTAGCCCTTGTCTCTTGACTATCGAAGGTATGTGTATACCTCATATCATGCAGGGATTGCGGAAACGAATACATCGGAGAAACGGCACGCCCTCTGAGCATACGTATTATGGAGCATCTTAATGGTAAAGAGAGATTACACACATCCACTCCATTGGGCGCCCACAGAGTGCAAGATCATCAAGGAGTTGATTTTGAAGTGAAAGTAGAGATTTTAGCGCGCGAAGCTCAAACATCCACTCGCAAAACCCTAGAAGCCTTTTGGATTCATTTTAGAAACCCTAAAATGAACCGCAAAGACGAGTGTCTCTTTATCACACGAGAACTCGCTCCGTGTCTTAATCAGATCTTTTGATCATGTGAAGACATGTTTCATTCTTTGCTCAAGCGGTCAGTAAGCACTCGCTCATACTATACCAGAACTTTACCGGCGAACGAAAGGTGAGTATCGCGTATGGCAGCCTGCTCGTAGTCAAAAGAAAGCTTAGAATTTTGCCTGTAAGGTTGAGGAGATGTTTGATCGGATAGTCTGTAAATTGTGTTCGCCCATTTCAGGCTCTGAAGAAGGCGAATTATTGCCGAAACGTTAGCCTAAATAAATAAGTTACCAATCTCGGTTGTGGCTAAACAGTCGAATATCAACAGTATTCGCAAATTGTTTGATTTTTTATGGCACAGTACAAAAATTATGCCTTTACAGCAAGCTGGTCAAATTAGAAATCCCACTGTGCTAAGAATGAAATGAAGCGGTTTGCAGCTCATATCAAACTCGAGCTGGAGCTGCACACAGATTGTTAGTGCTACTAGCAATATCTTCTTACAGTTTCGACTTGCTGCGTTCAAATTGGGCTATTAACGGCTCAATCCTAATTTGACCAGCTTTCGTAAAATCAATACTTCAATGCACTAATGGTTAGGGTATTCGATCGTATATGAAGAAGAAAGGTTATAGCAAAGTTGCATGAACTTACAATGAGCGATTCTCGAACGCTTCGTGTAGTGAACAGATTGCAACATGAACTTGTTCTACTGGTGTTAGATTGTAAAAGCATGATCTTGTCAGTATAGAAAAGAAAACGCAATGATAAAAAAAAGAACTAAGTGGGCAGTGCGCTACGTAGTGGTTATTCATGTATTGTTTCTCTTTGGATGGAATCTGCGCACTTCCCGCGCCTTTGCACACTGCCACAACCACCACGCTCGCCGGCCGTCGCGAATGTGTGAGCAGAGCCCTATGACCATAGGTGCGATAGGGGGAGTCGGGCCCTCTCCAGGTGAAGGGGTCTCTGCTACTCCCTTCCTTGTAAGGTAAAGGGGGTAAGTGAGCCCTGAAAGCAAAATGCCTCAACAGGTTACAGACCATTCGAAAGCTGAGGTCATATGGAATCGACATAGACCGTCGGCTTTTTTCTAGGTCTTTTCCGCCGCGAGAAATGAGGGATTTTATGTACTTCATATATGAACTAATTTTTTGTCCTCACTTTCTGCTCTCCAAATGAATGCTACGAGAAAGTCGACGGTCTACGTTTGTTAATGAAGACTTGCTCTGTAATGCAGATAGATAATCAGCAGTGATTAGGTCTTCGTTTGGCAGAAATCTGCTGTTGAAAATGAACATGATTTCAGATAAAATGCAGTGTATCTCTCGGTAAAGGGCGACTAGAAAGAATTCGACGGTCTACGTCGAGTCCCCTTTTCCTGAGCTCTCGAATGGTATATAGAATGCTGAGCGAAAAAACTTGCCAGTTTTTGAAAATGGTGTGGAGGTATTTACTATTAGCTTGCTCCACTCAGCTCCCTCAATGTATTGGCTTTTATCGGTCACCAGAGCAAGTGCTTTTTAGAGCCGGGAAGCAAAAAAACCCTTACATGCTTTACACCATTCGAAAGCTGAGATCATGGAGAATCGACGTAGATCGTCTCTTTTTTTCATAGCTTCTCTGTAGAGCGAGATACGAGCAATTTTATACGCCTACTCACCAGCTAATTTTGTGTAATTAATTTGTAATTTATTTTTGAAAGAAAGAACAAAGATTTAAAAAAAAGAGACGGTCTACGTTTACTGACAAGGTCTTGATCTGTGATGCTGTTAGAAAATCAGGCATCTTTATCCATTCTTCACGCAGAAATTTCTCGAAAACACACATGTTTTTGGCTAAAATCCCATGTAACTCTGAGTAGAGGCGAGCTAGAGAAAAAGAGACGGTCTAGGTCGAATCCTTTTTTTGTGGGCTTTCTAATGGTATAGAGGTTGTCGGGTGAAAAAACTTGTGGTTTCTCAAAAATGAGGTGGAGATATTCAATAGTAACTTGCTCCACCCCGCTCCGGCTTTCTATGGGTTGCCGGAGCAAGACTTTTTTGGACTGGGAAAGTTTTGCGCACCAACACCCTATATACCATTCGATAGCTAAGAACCCGAGGAATCGACATAGACCGTCTCTTTTTTCGTAGCTTCTCTGTGAGGCGAGATACGAGCAGTTTTATCTAGCTACAACATCAGCCAATTTTGAATAATTATATTTTCAAACCAAGAAGGTCTTTTTCGAACTTTTATATATGAATCGAAAGTATGAAAAACGAGTAATCTAACTGCTTTTTTGTTTATTATTATTCTCTCTAGTGAAAAGAGATATGGTATGATTTCTTGTCAGTAAACAAGCATCCATCGCTAGTCGGTTCAGATTTTTCTACTCTTGCTCAACTCTTTTCTGCACAGTATGCATTCATTGATACAATGTTAATTATTCAAAAAATCAGCATCCTTTTCCTTTTTGATTGTTTTGTCGTTTCGTTATCAACGCCCTTTGAGCGCGCAGAAGGTCTTAAGCATGCGTTTTTTAACGAAACGTTGTTGATGCGATACTCTCTTGCAGTCTTGATGTCCGAGGAGAAGAGCAGCTGGTGTTTCCTTTCCAAACAAAAAGTTCCGTTGTAATAGCTGTTTGCCTTGATTAGTCTCAACCTCAGGTGAAAGGGGTCAGCCGGATGCCGGCCCTAAAGTGAAGGGGGTCAGAGAAATTTCTCCACCTATCGCATCTATGCCTATGACCATATCTGAATACTTTCAGTCAGGGCATTGGCTCCACCAGTTTGAGTTACGAAGATAAATTGGGATTGAATCATAATAAGTTGGAGATCATTTACTGGAAGACTTTACCTGCGTAGCCAATGCAGGTGTGACATGCTCAAGGTGTACAAAATCTGCAGTTTGAAAGTTGATAATAGCGTATGGAGATAAACGAAGGGTACATTCAGAGTCCATTCACCTGCACAGTCCACTCTCCTGCATTTGTGTTAGGTCTATCAAACGACATGGATCTGAACCATACCTCGCTGAGATGATTTTACAAGAGCAAAACGAATCACTGTTAGTACTTTTTGTATCATTTATATCGCTAACTTTGAGATGTCAGACGGATCACAATCTTCATTCTTCTCATTCGGCCGGTTGGTTCTTGTTCGAGTCACTGCTTTCAAAATCACCTTCACGGCGTTCAGGAATTAGAGGCGCTCCTCAACATAGGGAGTCATACTTTAACACAAAGCAACCAGAATTCACTTTTACTAGGGATGCTATATAACGAAGAGTTCGAGCTCCCCAAAGTGCGCCCTTATCAGTCCAATGTTCAAAGTATTGTTTCAATCCTACGAAGATTTTTTCAGCCCGGATCAAAAATCACGTTTCAAGGCCATAAATGGTTTGTACTCAAAAAGATCTATAGCGGTGTATTCTCACTTGTGTATTTGGTGAGTGCATTTGGTCTTGATATATTCTAAGAATGGAGATTTAGCTTCGTGATGCCACTGATAAACGAAAGTTTTATGCAATGAAAGTGGAAAAACAGAAAGATTGTGAAAGGTGATTCCGAGAGTTTTTGCAAATCAAGCCTGTGAAGTGTTTCCTAGTTAATGAGTTGATTAGCTACTAGACAGTCAAGAGTTCATGAGACACAAAACTTGCGCAAGACTTATATGGCTTAAATTCGACGCTATTTTAAGAGCAAAAAGGAATTTTACTTTAGTGAACGTAGGCGAATCGTATGTACTCAAAACGAGCTTGCACAACGCGTGCGGGAATCCCTGATAATTTTTCACTATGGCTTTGGCCATAAACCACCGCTTTCACTGTTGATACCGCTATTACCTGCCTTCACCGCTGTTACGCTACTGCTGTTATTGCTGTTGAAGTCTCATCTCTCGATACGAATTCTCATCCACTGGTGAGAAATTTTGTAAAAAAATGTGACTGTTGCTCATCATTCAACAGCAGTAACAGGGTTAGCAGCAGTAATATCATGACTTATAATAACTGGCTAAAGGTTGTTTACGTCTTTTTGTGTGTGTCTGTGTGTGTGTGTCTGTCTGTCCGTTACGAAATTCGTAGAGCATGTTTCAGCCAACGTCCTGAGCCCAAATTTTGCATGGCGCATGCTTGCAGCATGAAAGTCCAACATGCAGAAGCTGCAGATCCGTTGAGTGGATCCCTTAAAAACTGCGCGTCAAATGGGCCCACTTGGTTCTAACCATCAAAACTGGGCCTGTAGCAGCACTTTTTGCAAAGTCATGGATATGCTTGACAAATAATGTGCAAGCCATAACTTTTGCCCAAGAAAGTAAGCAAAAGTTTATTACTTCACGAAAATGGCGCCCAAGGATTGGTTGCGTAACTGCTCAATTTACTTAGATTTTACTTGATCATTTGTAAAGTCTGGCACAGAGATGTAGCCCACGCTGGTTGTTGTCCTCAAGGCGACTACCAAGCCATGAAAAAATCAAAAACCAATTCAAATTTCCATTTGTTTTTTCGGGAAAAGTTCCATACACGCGAAAATACCGATCTCAATCGAAAAAGCTTCATGAATGAGTAGTTGTTTACAGATTATTCGTGATAGTGTGCATAGCGCGGTGAGTTTCATTGGCATTATTGCGGGAGTGAGTGAGGCATACAGACAGTATAGAAATGCCTGGCTCTCGGTATATTTTGTAGGACCAGTGCGAGCCTCTGCGAAGCAGAGGTGACGCACTGGTCAGTAATAGTGGTTATGCACTTTAGCATTTACGCGGTTTGTATTTCGCCTTTGTCCTGTTGGGGCAAATCGGCATCGTTGCAACTTGATTTCCATTTCAAGATCGCCTGCTTCTAGCGGGGGAATTACGTGCAAGTCATTTCGGATCGTATCTAACCAAAATTGTTCGTAACATTCGCGTAAGTGCATCGTATCATGCGTGTGTCCATCGTGCTCAAAATCTGCTAGTGTTATTCTTGCCGGTCAAAAGTACTTCTTGAAGGGCGATTCGCTCGACAATATCTTTGATTTATACTAGAATTGGCCCACAAGTCTCCTCACTTGACGCCTTCCAGTCAAGACCAGGGTAAAGCGGGGGGTGCGGCACTCGACCGTCGGATACGACCCCCCCCCCCCCTGATTGCTGTCTTAATAAGACCCCCCTCCTAAACTATACACTTAAGATAGTATTACCTGAAGGCTCTGTCAAACATAATGGACAACATATCCATAATTAGCATGTCAAATACCCCCTGTAGACAAAGTGTGAGCGAATTCTGAAGATACAAGATACTAGGCTACCTAAGTGAAATGGTCAAATTCCAACATGGTTAACTTTGTTTTAAAGGTGAATTAGCTATCCGTTTTTGCACTCAAGACAAAGCACTACTCCTTCTTTGTCCACCTCAGGAATCCCGCTCCAGAAGACCTCCAAACTGTGGAATTAGAAGCCAACCAAAATCTCATTTTTCCCATTTTTCGCTTTTGATGGCTGTGCTTTCACCAAATATTACTCAGAGCTAAGAAGACGAATCAGGCTCAAAACATCCCTATGGAATCTACGAGGTTTAGGCTATCGATTCATATAAATATTGTCCGCTAAAAATGTTTTTTTGATATAGTTAATGGCCTGCGGCACCCCTGCGGCACCCCTGCGGCAGCCGCAGGTTTTGAGGGGGGGTGCCGCAGGCCATTAACTATATCAAAAAAACATTTTTAGCGGACAATATTTATATGAATCGATAGCCTAAACCTCGTAGATTCCATAGGGATGTTTTGAGCCTGATTCGTCTTCTTAGCTCTGAGTAATATTTGGTGAAAGCACAGCCATCAAAAGCGAAAAATGGGAAAAATGAGATTTTGGTTGGCTTCTAATTCCACAGTTTGGAGGTCTTCTGAAGCGGGATTCCTGAGGTGGACAAAGAAGGAGTAGTGCTTTGTCTTGAGTGCAAAAACGGATAGCTAATTCACCTTTAAAACAAAGTTAACCATGTTGGAATTTGACCATTTCACTTAGGTAGCCTAGTATCTTGAATCTTCAGAATTCGCTCACACTTTGTCTACAGGGGTTAATTGACGTGCTAATTATGGATATGATACGAATATTATCATGTTATCGCTATAATCAGATCACCTAACTACGACCCCCTCCTCTTTTGACTTCTCAATACGAGCCCCCCTCTGCGGCGTGCCGCACCCCCCGCTTTACCCTGGTCAAGACCATTCACAACTACCATCCACTCGGGAAGGATATCACATTACTTCACAGTCATCCGGCTTCCATGCTGCCCTTCTGATAACATAATTTGCTTTTACCGGCATTGTTGCTCGAGTCTCGCGCTAGGCGTAGACATGATCTTACAAAAGAAGGAAAGGCGCTAAAATCACTCACGGTGCGGTGCGGCTGACTGGCTGCTTTACTAACAGGGAGAGAATGGTCAGTCGAAGTGGCTTTCTAAGGTGAGAGCTGCAGCCTGTCCCAATCGAACATTACGGCCTCGCTCTTGCGCGATGGCGTGTTCGAGGGGGCACAGTTTCACATGGCACTGAAATCCCAAAACCCCTACCTTGTCCGGACACTGCCTTTAAGATCGAATCGAGGTAATGGCACCTTTTAGCCTCCTGCGACAGCGATTGCCTGAACTTAATGCAAGAATGTGTCACCAACAACAACTTGTACGACTGATCCAATCACTCATAACTCTTCGTCCAAGTAAGCTCTACAGTTAAGAAAGTCAGATTTGGGATCAGAGTTTCATGCTCTTCAAAATAGTACACATTCCATCTCTAAAGGCCATTTCGACCAATCATCCTTTCCTTGTAAGTGCTGATTGTGAGAGCTGACATTGAAGTTCAAAATACACAGACATAAAAGGAAGAGTTACTAGTCAAGCAAGCATTGCCACTCATTCTCTGGATTTTGAAGTTCACATTTTTTCCTGAAAAGGAGAAGATCTTGGACTCATGAAGAAGCTTCACTTTGATACATGTGTCAATATGACATCAGCCTAAACTTTCAATCTCACCTTAGTTGTAGCACGTTTTAGAACGTCATAGCGTTATCAACCAGACCTATCTTGATCCAGGTAATAAGTGTAAGTAATGACCCTGTGCGTTTCATGGAGAACTATTTGAATTCGTTAAATCGAACGTAACTAGATGCTCAAAGCTAGTCCATATTTGGCTGCACATTCTTTCCAGTAGTTCATCGTGCTAAAATTACTGTCTGTAACAACTTTAGGTCTATATGCTGTAAATAGAGTAGAGCAAGCCTGCAAAATTTCAACAAAATTTTGACTGGTAGAAGCGAGGTCAAAGGATGGGGTGAAGATGCACAACTACCCTAATTTCACGCGTATAAGGCGCACTTTTTCGAATTTTCAAGCGAGCCGCTCAGTCCTTCGCTGTATTCCGGAAAGAAATCCTTACATCGTACGAATTTCTCAAGCAATATACAGCCCGTTATAAGGTTCATTGGTTGTAAAGTCCTTTGGCTTGTCTGGGCTGGTCGATTTTGGAAAAAATCCCTCGCGCCTTATACCCGTGAAATTAGGGTAATTGAGTTTTTTCGTTGCAATCCCGTTTGTCGATCCACCAAAGTTCCCCAAAGTGCGCAACTTTGTTAGTATTCTAACAGCAATTGTCAGCTCAACAGCGTGTACAACTTATAAAACTTTTCTCTACGTGCTATAGCATTCACACCTATTTCCGCTAGTTCTCCTTACTTTGCATTCTGCGCATCCTTTACTTCTGAGTTCCAAAAAAATCTAAAACGGGAGGGCTAAGACCGTATCTACTCCACAAATTGGTCAGCTAATTAGATCACTGCCCTATTTGGGTTTTTTTCGACAGCTCATTGTAAAGGACGAAAGTGAACATGTTCGGTAAGATCCTCTCTTGACTCCAACCGAAGCCGAGCAGTTTGTTTTTGAAATGCTGGGTTTCTGCAACCTTCCGGTTCCAAAGGCTATGATTCCATAAAATTCATTTCAGTAAAAACCCTAATGAACTTTAGGGTTTCTTTTACAAATGAGGTTCAAGATTTGGATGATAAATCGTTCTTGTTAAGCATGCTCATTACACTCACGTTCTGTTTAGGCCGGTTCTAAAACTCGATGTCGCAGTCCTATCGCAAATGCGCTCTGTCATCGGTTTTCCAACAATGTTTGTTGCTGGCAGGACAGACTCATTCAAAGTAAGTCTAGAAAATTCTTAGTTGCTTGCTCTTTCCAAAGCACTTATCTCTTTGATATAGTTTTGTGTAATGCAGTTGGTGGGGCCTGACCTCAGGGCACTGATGTGGGCCATGCCCAATAAAAAGTAGGTGAAAGTGCTTGCTGTCTGAATTGCTTCTTTTTACATTGATTCAGATTTTCTCCTCCAACAGCGTTCCGAATTGCACTTCAAACACTGGATCGCTTAGAAAAGCTTCATGATGCAGGATACTTGAACAGGTGTCTGCGCCATGCTTACCTATGGATTTCATGAACTTAGCACTTTGCAGAGATGTAAAATCGCAGAATTTTGCCGTTGGAATAGGAGGAGAGTCCTCTGTAATATACATGCTAGATTTTGGATTAACGAGGAAGTATAGGTAAAGTATTCAATAAATTATTCTAATCTGGATAAATAACGACGAAGAACCGCAATTCAATCGTAACCTCCAGATTTCCTCCCAAGAAACGCTTATGTCTTTTAATAAGATGATCTTCCGCAATTAATGAAGACATCTTGATCGGCATACATGCCGCATCTGAGACAAAATTCATACAATGATCCAGTAGAAGATTTCTAGTTAGAATAAGCCAAACTGCTCGTAATTCTGTTAATCAGAAAGGTGATCATTCTTAGACAATCGGTGCCGTAGTTACGAAGGACAGTCGAAATCTGGCAGAGCTGCTGAGGGCCTTCTTAACCATTGAGGAGGCCGGGCGAGGGGGGCGGTCCTTTCTTGTGACGTCACGGTGACGTCACAGAAGGCAGATGGGACCCCTCCCGCGGGCTTGCAAATCTCTGCTCCGGAGGTGCGCCAGATTTGGGACACCCCCGCACAAAATGGGAGGGCTCCGGAGCACAAATGGGAGGTCTCCGGAACACAAAATGGGGAGAGCTCCGGAGCATGAGTGGCAAACCCCCGCTGGGCAAGCCCGCGGCCCTGCCATTTCTGCTCCGGAGGTATGCCGTCGACTGTCCGAGGTAGGGCTCGGCGCGTGTTGGCTCCAGGACAATATCAAGACGAAGTCCCCTTTGACCCTAAAGTCTAAACGTTAAAAGACCCTAAAAAGACGAAGCGTCAACTAAAAAATGTCGCAATTTTTGTGTCTTTCTGACCACAAAAACGATATCGCCTTTGCTTTTAGTCCCAGAAAAGATATTCAGGTTGATTTGGTGCCATCTGTGCCAGCCCAGTCTAGGAGAAAGCTTTCTGATATCATCTCTCCCCTTTTTGAGAATGGCGTAAGAACTCTTAGCTCTCACAATCGATACACAAATCCTTTCTGACAAGAGGATCAGAGTTTTTTGAAGGCAATAATGAGGACGAACACTTCGGAGATGAAGGAAATTGCTTCTGGAACCATTCTACCTCTTAACGCTAATTTCCAGTCTTTTGATTGGGAACAAACGATACCAAACACCATTCTGTTAAACAACAGGTTTTAGAAGTGCAGACGGAACAAGACTGAAACGCCGTGGATGTGGACCATGTGTTGGTACATATCCTTTCACACCATTAGCATCTGCAACAATGAAGGATCAGGCTCCTAAAGATGACCTTGAGGGATGGTTCTATATGATTATGGAAATCTTTTTAGGTAAGCGTTTTTCACCTTCACAACAAAAGGCCTTTGCTCTCCCAGAATTGCATAGCTGTGAAGTAAACATTTGGGAGATTAGAAACTGAAAATGTCTGTCCTCGCTCCGACGTTTTTGTTTCCAGTGGTAACCTCAGCAGAAGGCAGGGATTTGGACACCCATCACCCATAGTTCGGGAAGATAATGAGCAATTCAAAATTTTCACGAACTACTCTCCAAGAATAATCCAAACAACTTCTCTCAGTAACAAGTGTTTGTACATGCATACGATTAAGACGTTTGCAGACCACCTAACCATCAAAGATTACACCTACCCAGTCCGCCAGTAGTTAGTGTTTTCGGAATAATTTAAAGATTTCAAATTAAAGGGAACTCCTTAAAGTGCTTTCCAAATTTTTTTTTGTGGTAGAGGTATTCTGATCAAAACTGACTGTCGTAACTTAGAACAATAACGCAATGTAAAGTTTTATCCTCGTTCTTAAATTCTAAACTTTTTCTCGTAGAACTTTCTAGACATCAAGACAAAATATTTCGAATCAAGATTGAGCTCTCAGGATGCCTGCCCTGGCACAACTCGAGAATTAACCCTGACCATGGCTTAACTCGGGAGTGGAAGCAGTTTGCTCGAGGTGCTTTTCGCAGTGAAATGCTTTCATCGCTTCCCTACGAGTTCTCACCAATATTTAGCAACATTATCAATACGAGGTTGGTCCATTTAAAATTAGCGTAACCCTTCTTTTGCCAGTAAGTATGATTATGTGTAAGTCAATAACAACACAGATTCGAGGAAAGACCAAGGTATCAATTTATACAACGAATGTTGATTGCGAGTGCAACCAGGCAAGGCATAAAGCTTGACGTCCCATATGATTGGCAGGTAGGAAGATTTTGCATCTTCTGAAATGTTGGCTATCTGTCTTTCAGGTAATTCCGGCTTTGGTGAATCTCATAAGAAAATCCACAGAATACGGCCCGCTGCCCGATGATACCGAAACAATAACAGAACCCGAAGTCGATAAAGAGCCAATTGCAGCTTTTCAGTGAAAGTCACTCTTTTCTAATGCGTCTTTCAATTTCACATGGATACCTAGTAAAATTGTATCGCAAATCCTCAAGCGAGTCTATACAAAGCTAATAATTCGATAAGATTTCTCTAATTGAGGTTTTCATGTGTATTTTTCATTGCTAGTCGAAGTATAATACTTGCTACACTTGTGAAAAATTCTGTCTCAATGAAAAACCACATTTGAGTTGAAGAATAAAATGTGTATAAAAATTTTTCGCATATATGTACTTCAAATCTCGGCAGTCATATGCCATCGTGCCCAATCTCCTTTCCTGAGGACCGCTATTTTTATCAGTGATTTCATTCTCAGCAGCAATGCATGCACAGCGCAAATATCAACTCTCTTCGTTGAATTTGCAAGTGAACATTTCGAGAATTTTTTGATCGTTCTGCGAATAAACAATTTACTCATAATTTATTCTGTTCTGCTTGCAAGCTTATGAGGAAAGTCACGAATAAACACTCAATACACGATTTCAGCAGAATATAAGGAGATCACATGTATCAGGACTGATCCTGTTACCCGTCGTACAAATTTCTTCTCAATTTCAGAACCGGGAGTCCTATTTATGGAACGGTTATCAGAAATAGCAGCTCCAACCGTTTCGAAAAGCATCAGCCGCATTTCTACTCAGAGGCGAAGCGCAACAGCTTTCGTTTTGAGCTTACTCGAGTGGGATCATCTAAACAAAATCATCGGTGACAGGTTAGATAAACGAACATATGAACTTACGAGACTCTTCCTCCACTTCCTCCGGAGGAGGCACTGCACCCGCAGCACCCGGTTCTATAGTAATGCCGCGTACGAGTTTTGCTCGTCTCTGACGTTGGCGTTCCTCTGCTGCTTCTCGCCTCTTACGACGGGCTATAAATGGAGTGAATTATTGCAAACTTCCTAGAAATTTCCTTAGCAAAGCTCTCCCATTCTGGGAGGGGACTTACGGGAGGAGAAATGAGAACGCAGTGTCGCAAATTTGAATGATGCTAATTCTTCCATCATTTTAGCAATTGGTTAAATCTAGGCAAGGAAGAAGCCAGTTTTTGAAAAAGTTTAGGATTAGCAACATCACTTAAGCGAGTCTGAAAGGGAGGAGGAGGGGGGGGGGAAGAGGGACTATTGTCCATCATCCAAAGTTCAGCAATGAAAAACTGACCTTCAACCTCATCTGGAAGGAACGAGAGTTCCAAAGCCCTTCTTGCAGCCATAGCTGCTGTTAATGCCACTCCATTAATCTGAAAGGTTTACAGAATGTGTCAAAAGTTCAAAACGAGCAGTTTTTCGTGGTCACTCGACAAGAATATCGAAGCAAATTCTAACAAAATTAATGATGGGAAATAAAAATTTTTCAAGGCTTTTTATATATACTTACCTTCTTTCGTTTTTCTAATCCAAGGCAATGCTTCACGATAGAACGATATTTTGAGCTGAAAACCAAGTAAACGAATATGGAAGACGAAGAGTTGAGCGAAATGAGGATATTGCTCAATTCCACTGAGAAATCGAAGATGTCCTGGCTGTGATCCACTTCCTGAAAAAGCATGTCTTAAAGCTGATCATCCTTACAAAGGAATTGCAACTTCTACACTAAACTTAGCTGCGCTAAACTCTACCATAATAGGATAATGCTGTGTGAAATGCTGATATTTTTCTTGCAGAATTACTTTTATGATCAGTCCCTTGACTGAAAAATTGGTGAGCGCCATGCTCTGACAAACATATCCCACCTAGGGTCCCATAAAAATGCATAATCCACTCTGCTTGCCATGGCAAACACATGCAAGGACTATAAAAAAGCCTCTAACAATAAGAAAGTAATACCAATTTGCGATTTGGATACTATGCATGTGGATGCGATTATGGGCACTGAAGCCTATGTGTAGCATAGAAGCCAAATCAAAAGCAGACTTAGTTCGCATGTTGTGAGCTTCGCTCATTCTCAGAAGTAACAAGGAAGTCATGACGCACATTGTGCTCAGCATGAGGGTTTTCACTACGCCCTCACTTCCTCCTCCCCCACCCCCTTTCCCTCACTCTGTTCCCCAGTGTTCCAAATATACTGGAACTGCACTAAATGTGAGAAGAAACCTAAAACTTTAATGGCAAAAATCATAGAGTTCCAAGCTACTTCAGATTCTGCCACAAATCCTGTTCTCTCTCTCTTTTTTTTTTGAAGTATGGGAAAGCAGTGATCCAATTCAAAGCTGTTTAAGGGTAGAAAACGACAATGAGAGATCAAACTCACATCCTTTGGAGACACAATCTGAGTCGAGTTGTTTTCGCTCTCGATGTGTGCTCGAGCATCTCGTACGATTTCGTAGATGTTATTGCAGAAAGCGAGACAATTACAGCACAAGAATATTGCGACAATGGCCAACAACATGAGCGTAACGCTTCGATCCCTAACAGATCCTCCTTTGGCAATCGCTGGAGTGCGAAGTGGACTAAAGAACTATCGTAAGAATTCAACATCTTTGCAAAGATTTGAAACTTACTTGAAACCAAGCTTTCCGAACTTGCCGAAAAGTTCGGAGTATTTCGCATTCTTCAGTAGTCGAAAATTATTGACAATAGGGGGTCTAAAATTACTGTGGTCAGAGATGATTGAGACTGATGTTAGTGAGCGAATGGTTTGGATAGACAGTACATATATCGTAATCGTAGACTTACAGTAAGCAGAACTAATAAGCATTGCAAAAGTGAATCATAGTCAGTGCTAAATCAAAATTTCGGAAATGTTAGAAGATCGATGCAAACTTTTTGACGGAAAAACTAATCAGCAAACAGTCAGTATATACAGATGTCCAAAAAGTGCTTACTGTTTGATTGTTAATAACTCTCTTGTCATGAAGTCTTTCAAAACGCTTTGGTACCATTTTTAAAGCTGACTTCAACTTAGAGTTATAGTATGCAGCGAATCATCGATTGCTCTTCATTACTGTAGGATTACGGTAGGAACTCTCGGCTTATGGCGTCGCTGTGAAAAAGCAGCCTTTCAGATATTTTCAAGGAAGGTCCAAAAATTCTGTAATGGGGTTTTTATGGAAGCTGAACTTTGTACAAGATTTTGAAGCTTTCAACGGTGTAAGCACATTTTTTTTAAGAAAAAACGATTAGACGGCAGCCACTGATCATCTGGCATAACTTTTGAAGGAAGCATTATGATGAGATGCAAACTTTATATTTAAAATCAGCGACTCTAATTAGCCTAGGGTGAGAGTTTTTGGTTGTTTTGTTTCTTTTCTGAAATCAGATATATGGCCCTCCTTGGCGCAAAACCCTTCTCAAAGTTCCTACCGTAATCCTACCATTAATGAAGGACGATCAGTATTCGGTCCATACTGTAAATCGTTGAAGCCAGCTCTGCAAAATGGTGCCTGAAGCGTTTCGGAAAACTTCATGACAAGAGAGTTATCAACAATCAAAGAGAAGGCACATTTTTTGGGACACCCTATATTTTAAGACAGCCACACCTTCTACGAGCGACTTCTTGCATTTTCATTTTTTTTTTATGAATTTGGTATAGAGTGCAATTTTTCGAGTATAAAAAAGTGTAGTATGCGAAAGGAAACCAGGTATCGAATTACAGATCACTTATCGAAATTTCCATCTGAAGTTGAGCTCTCACGCGTACACATTTGCATCTTCTGTATAAACTCAGAACTGTAAAAAATACTCACGCTTGCGTTGATTTTTGTGTGGACAGACGTTCCCGCATCGCCGTGCTTTGCTTAAGAGCAACAATGATCCGCCAATTCACCATGATTAGCGTCACGAAAGGGATGACGAACATTACAAGTGTGTATAGTATACACCTCGTGACGATATTATAGGTTTTGTTAGATTTTAGCTCTGTCAATGTGATGCTCCTGGAAGATGTGCGCCAATCAAGAAAGCTAGATGGGACGGCGCTTAGACTCTCACCGAACTCTGACGTTGAATTCTGCGGAAAGGCACTGTGCAATGTCCAGCTCCAACCAGGTGTGGATATTGATTAGAATACTGAATATTACCGATCCTATAAAAATAGAAGATGATACGTCCCATCGACTTTGACGGGGTATTAGATTCACTCTATCTATGAAACGATTTTACTAGGTTGGCGGATAATTTTTGTTACACTTTTTCTGTAAAATTCCGAAAAATTCTGAAGCTCTTTAAAATCCTCAAATTTCCACCATAACAGGGCGACAAGGCACGACGGGGCGAACCATCAATCTGATTAATACCGCAGATGCACAAATAGATAGCAAATTCACGACAACTTTGTAAGCACACTCAAAATTGCATTTTTTTCGTTGCCTCAAACTGAATTCTTTCTCTGCCGTAATTGTTTTGAAACATATGTTCAAACTGTCTCTCCTATGGGTGCACTGTGCCGCTAGCATGTGAAAAATGGTGAAAAAGTCAAAAAAAAATTCGTCGACAATTTTTCTTTTTGTGTGCATCGTGTAGAATTTGATACGGAGAGATCGGAAGCGATTTTTGCAAGGCCGGCATACTTAACCCGCTTTCTGTCGCGACGCGATTTGGCCATACTTTAATTGTTTATAGCTCAATGTAAGCGCATTCTAAAGCAAAAAATAGGCATTTTATTGAACTACGCAAGTTATACACACTGTGCAATTTAGCCTGAAGGTGTTGCTCAGAAAAAACTGGCAAGTTGCCAGATCGCGTCGCGATTGACAACGTGCGATATGTCCGAGGCCCAAATTTTCAAGACATTGTTCTTGTTGTAAAAATGCGAATGTGCGCTGACTAGCGCACCATAGCTCATGTGAATGTGGACATGTTTGTGTCATCCCCCTACATTCGCTAAAAGCTATGGAGCATACTCCGCTCGATTACCACATCGCCCGGTCTCTTCCTGATTACCTGGAAGAATACCAGACCGGTGACAAGAATGTAAATATATAAAACTCCCACTGATTATGACGGACCTCGGATCTGACAGTACGGTAGACCTTTGCACCCCGTCAACACTCCTCAAACGTGAGAATTTTCGGAAGTTTCTCAAATTTTGAGAAATAAAAATGAAAGTGTTACAGAGATTATTTGTCAACCTAATAGAAGGAAATGTACGTTTCCTTAGAAATGTGTTTTACATGGCTATGTGTGGCTGAATTTTCGAGCATCAAATCTTGCCTATTACAAAGCAACTCTAAAAAACGGTCACTGTTTTTTGCGCGACGTCCTGTTGGAACTGACTATAGTTTTCACTCATGAACTGAGGGAAAATTTTTGGACAATATCGCTCGACGATATTTTCACGTTGCTATATTTACGAACGCGGCGGCCACGTCTAGTTGAGCATGTTCGCAGTCACTTATCAATTACTAATACTTTTGATATGATACTAGAGTCATTCGATAAAGAATAATCAAGAATTTCCTCAATTAAAAAATTTGCCACCAAATTGTACAATTATTGACAACCTCCGCCCTTACAGGCCTAGATTCGCCTAGATATCCAATGCCATTACGCTTACATACACGTGCAATCCAAGCTAACAATCTGTTTTTTAGAGTGAATGTGTAAAGAATCCCGGTAACATACACTTGCCCACCCTGATGACAATCGCACCTATGTTTTCAGATAAGATTAAAAAATTATTTTAGAACTTCATTATAAACGCCGCGTGCTAATACGATACTATTCACTTTAGCAACTTACTACTGCGAATATGCTATCTTTTGCGATGTTTGTGTAACAAAATTGTTTCAAATTTTAAAATGAGTAGCCTTACCGAGTATGGCACACTTTACAGGGGTACCGCTAACCCATCGCTTTGCGCGAAACGGCTGGCAAACACCAAGGTATCTGAAATTTAACATTTCTTTAATTGGTTGTGAACACCTTCAAGGTATTTCAAACTCAATTTTATCGACAGAAATTGCCACACTAATGATAGAAAAGCCGCTTACCTATGCACCGATACCAGAACAGTCAGATAAACACCGCACGTTTGAGTGCTTAGACCAATAGGGTAAGCATACCTGCAAGTATGCAATTATAGGTAACATCGTTAGTAGTTACTGAGGCTAATACTCACCATAAAATTAGAGGAAATGAGTCGTGTAGAGAGACTGAATTACTCATCGACGCAATGACGGGAAATATCAGCATGAAGAAGTTGCATAATAAAAGAAGCAGATCGGATATGGAAAGCACCTGAAATACAGATTTAGCGGTCGTACAAGAAATTGAGATTTTATTCAATATTTTGATTAATGGTAGTTATTTAAGGCAGTGTTCATGATTCGATTGTAATTTAGTTTACGAAGCCGTTGCTGCAATTAATCTCTTGATGGATCTTAAGCTGTAAGCCGTAAATGCCTAGAGAGGTTTTTTGTTGTTACTAGAGATTCTAGTAATCTGCAGCCTTTATATAACTTTTTTTACTAGTTGAATTTTAGCATGTTTGTGCAAAGTAATGAAAGGGACATGGCATTCGGTATTCTTCGCAGACACGAAGGATCAAATAGAACTTTTACTCTATAATCGTTTACACAACATGCACATAATCGAAAGAATTGTTCGAGCTTCAAAGATTCTTCGATAGTTTCAAAAGAGGCTTACAACTATGATACGGAAGTGCTTTCGTCCAAGGTTCCTTGACTGTAAGCTCAGGAAGTTCTTATGGAATTGCGTAAGTTCTACTCCTAAGTCTATGCTTTGTTGCTTTAGTGATAGAAAAAAACCACAGGTTTTATAATAAAGTGTATAAATCAGTGAGATCAGTCCCTTCTGCGCGAATAATACTTGTTAGAACTGTTTTTGATCAAATCACAAGCTTCTCATGTTTCGTCTGACATGAGTTGAAGCTCAAGTACAGAAGTATTCCATATGAAAAACATTAGTGCCAATCCAAAAGTATGAAAGTAAGTAATGCCCCACTCTTGAAAATACTTAGTATGATTTAGAAGGGGAAGATCTATCTAATAGGTAGAAAAAGATCTCTTCTGGATTTTTTTTTAATCTAGAAGGCTTCTTTCTCTACCCGCTAGTCAGCAAGCGGTAGATCATAAGCATCTGTATGTTTATAGAGGTCTGAGAAGGTGTGTAGTGATGGTAGTTATGGGAACGGGGAAGGTAGGATTTGAGAAATGTTGAAATCATCTGAAAAGATTTTTCAGTGAGTGTAGATTGAAAAACATATTCAACGATATGCATAAGATTCAAACCTACACAATTTTTGAATTATGTGTATTCAATGCTGTTAATCTTCTTTTCACTTCATTACGACGCTCGAAAGCAGTTCCTTATTTTCTTCTTCTTTTTTTTTCAATCTATTAGGTCGTTCCATAAGTTCATAGCCTTTTCATTTTCGTCCTCATGCGTACATATATCATTTGGAAGGGCTGATTGTGCTCTTCAAAATACGTCTACTGATTCTGGTGGAAAGCTGATCCACTCGGATTTCTCAGCTTCCAAAGATGGAAATCTTGAGAGGCAAAAAGGAACAATTTCGGCCTTTGCGCATTTTTGGCGAAAAATATGGCATCATACGGCAAACGTCGTCAAAACTGTCCTCTACGATTTGACTAGAAGGTACGTACTTCAGTACCCAACGGATCTCCAAATCTCACACTGTCAGATTATCTTTTGTTGCACTCTCTGGCAAACCGCACGAATGGTGCATGTCTCGATTTTAGTAAGCAGTTTGAGCGCTGGTCAGATGACTTTCTTGGGATCCGGCGCGCTGCCGTTTGAAAGATTGAGGTTGAGGAGCTAACAAGAGTAAAAGTCGTGCGCTACGACGAGGAAGATAATTTTGATTGATTTTCACTGTAAATTGATGGTTTTGTTGATTTGCAAAAACGCTGCGAACTTATGGAACGACCTAATATTTCGAAGGACATATATTTGTGAAAGCAAATGGTTGGATGTCAAATTTTGCTGGGAACAGGTCTGGGTGCTAGTACTAACTGTGGTTATTGACTTGAATGTAATTGTTCGCTGAGTACCTAGATGTTTACACTTAATGTACACCATATAAGTCAAATATATCCTGATATATGCAAAAAAACCGGAAACAACAACAAAAACCCACCAGCAAAAAGTGATTGACAAGTGAGCATCGCATTTCTGGATCGACAAAGACGGCAATGTTGATAGTATTAGTGATGATGCCAAAAATAGCAATTGGCATTCCTCCAAATAATCTTGCATTGGTTTGGATATCGTTGAAAATATGCGGCTCGCACAGTGGGACTTCCACCGCCGATGTCATTGTGACGGTTACTGGTGATCTGAAAATTTTAATAGAGTGTTGGAATAAATGTTCAACGATTGCAGGCGTAACGAGAAAGAAAAACCCAAGAAATTTACGACTGTTGAGCAGGGCATGAGAATTTCGTTATCAAAAGTTGAGGAGGAAAAGATTATTCTGAATCCTTTGAGAGATTTTTTGCCCGGGAAAGCTGCTGTGCTGGGGCTCGCAATAAAAATGCAAATGGGACAGATTGGCCAAAAAGCTCATCTTTACTCACTCCAGATTGCAAGCTGATGTGTCTTCTTTATCGCTTAGGCAGATTGACAGTTACAACCTAATGGCTCAAAAGAACGACAATAAATAAGATTTTAGAGGCTTTTGAGCCAAGATTTCCACAATCCTCTCCAACAATCACGCAGAGAAGAGACTAATCATCTGCGGGAGTGCGTAGGATGGCTTCCAGCAAATTAATTAGATAAAGCCTCTTCCAGGATAAGCGCGGGAACAAATCCGCGAATGCGAGTATTAATGAGTTAGAGGAATCAAAAGAGTACGGAGACAAACTCTAACAAAAAAAGTATAAAAAACGAGAAGAAAAAAGCTCAATCAAATGCAAATCGCTCTTTTTCTACAGCACGAAAGCCTCAAAGAAGTTTGTTGAATAAAAACTTCCAGATGCTTCTCATTGGGTATTTTTAGAATGTGATTTGATACAGCAACACGTGGAACAGATGAAATCGGATAACTGAGAACTTTTAGGAATCTGCACAGAAGCTAATGTCATAGAGCCGAATGCACTTTTGGTAGACCACTTCTTTTGCGTCAGTTGTCTTAAATGTACACAATAAATGCAGGGTCATATTTGCTCTAAGCATGTAATTGAGTAGGCTAAACAGAGGCAGAAAAAGAGCTAGTATAGCTGATCATATTTACAAGTTTCCAAAATTCTCCAAAAACTTTATATTCGAACTTTTTTTTCTTGAATCTGAGCGATCGGAAAGGAGAGTTGATCAGAAAAAGCTGAAATGCTGCAGGCCAATTTATGGGAAGTACAACAAACTATTTTATCAAACTCCTTAGAAGAATTACTCGAATACCAAATAAAGGAATATTGTCATTTTGGAGTACATTACCATTATGCGATACATTTTTTATTTCCTTATTATCTTATGGCGAAGGCCCAACTTGATGGTATAAACCAATAAATAAACAAATATAATATATAGATTTGATGCATGTACCCCCGCTTGAAAATCTTAGCAAGTGGGTAACACTTTTTTTTGATCTCACACAGACATATCTATCATAAAAGGTTTGAGTCGGTATGCGTAGTAGAGCAGATTTGGACGACCTTTTCTGAAGCACTTCCCTCAAAAACAAGTTTGATGAAAATCTGGAGAGCTTTGAAGATGTGGAACCCGGAAAAAGGAGCTTCGTACTCAACAAAGTTGCAATCTCGTCACTCCCTCCTGATTGAATTATTAAATCTCAATCAAGAAGAGATTTTTGACAACCGGCGGACATTTACCGCAGAAAAGACGACAGACATCAGAAAGCGGTGGTTTTTAACCTCGGAAAAAGGAGCAAGCACTTCCAATGTCTACTTCCAGTCCGACTACCGATTCAAGAGGGAGAACAATGCATGTCCAGCATGGAATATGCAAGTGTTACCCAGTTGTTAAGCACGGATGCACTTCTTCCCGAGTGCATGGTTAGGGCAACCCGTTGACCGAGCCTTGCTCACCTCGAGCACAACTGCACGCAGGACCCCTGCTGTACTAAACGAGGGAAATACAATGGAATTCACTTGCTTTTCACAAAAGGCAGTAACCTTGGCTACATGATCAAGCTAAATTTAACAAAAAGTTTTTCCCGAAGAAGCAGCTTCGAATTTCGCGCTCACGTAGAAACTCCAGAATCAACTTTGTTGAAAGGGCTTGAAGCAAAAAATATGTCCCAATATTCGCACATAGCATCAGCGAATTAGAATTTTTTGTATGTGTGGCGCGAGTATTGCTATATATTTTGTTTAATTCACATTTCCTTAACAATGCAGTTTTGGTTTATATTTCTTTAACATTATTAATACCACTAAATCGCTTTATTGTTTTGATATACTAAGAAAATGTCTGTAAAAATCGATGCAAATGTGCTCTGAATCTCCGATTCCTTGAAGATACATGCAAGCAAGCAAACGGAACTATGTAATTAGCAAGAGATCCTATTTCTTACAATCCGCATCCAAATAAAATCAAGAAATATATATATTTATTGTTCCATTTGACCTTGCCATGTGCCAATGATATATTATACTATTATAGATGATTGAATATCGATAGAACTATAATAATAAATTGGCGTCAATTCCTCTGCGTAAAAATGAAATTGAATATACTTTGAATAAAGTTGTACAGTAGTCGAATTCACGTAAGTAGCCATGGAATCTCTATGTAAAGAGATATTACGCCAGAGAATGGATGATCAAGAGGACTGGAACCAAAGAAACGCTTGCGAAAGAAAGTGGGTTTACTTCTGAAGGCCTAACTAAAGTTGCATACAGCATTTTAAGGAAGGTTCCAATTAACATTCATAAAACTAGGTATATGACACATTCATTGCTATCTAGAGTAGGATTTGACATCATCGTCAAAATTATAAAAAAGAATTTATATGTTATTCAGAATTTATGTTATTTACTTGGTTGAATCTTCTGTCGCTTGATTTTGAATAAGTCGTAACTGCTCCCCATGTGAAAGTATTTGCCTATAAATACTCATTGGAAAGAAAATTTTGTCTACTCTCTGAAAACATCTTTGAAGCAGTTTGACAACAAGTGACTCCAAAGGCAAAAATTATTTGAAAAAGGAGAGCTACTCAAACTTTCGATTATCGAAAATAAATCGTCAAAAAAACTATAACCTGCAGAAAAATCTGAGAGCAAGTTTTTTGTTTTGTAAGCTGCTCTTTCTAATGGTGTCAAACTTGTGCTAATTGACCTTTTCTATGAAAAGTTATGATTTTCAAGGAAAATGCAAAAAAGCGGCAAAAATGATGTTTTTTTGCATTACTCTGCAAAATCATAACTTTTCATAGAAAAGTTGGATCGACACAAATTTGGCACTATTAAAAGAACAGCTCACAAAACTCATAAGAAACATGCTCCCAAATCCGCAATGTTTCAGTTTTTTAACGACTTATTTTCGAAAATTGGGAGTTTGAGTGGGACATTCGAATTTTTATCTCTGAAGTCCCTTGTCCTCAAAGAACCTCAATTGTATTATAAAAGATGAATTTTTCTTTTCAATGATATTTTTTGTAAGCAAGTACGTTAACATGTGGAGGAATTTACGGATTTTTTTGAAATTAAAGCGACAGAACTTCCGGTTCAACTTAGTACTTGTCTTAGAGATATGTTTAAGCTCAATTAGTTAAAAATCTAGATCAACACGGATGACCGCAGCGACATATTTTCTAGTAGAAGTTAAAGGCGATAATTACAGTTATATTTTCAAATCAAGAAGCTGAAAGCTCTGATATATGAACCTATTGCAGAATCTCAATCAAAAATCGATGCGGAGTAAACTACTCACAGCATGCAAATAAGTGAACTATTAAAAAGGTTCGCCTACTCCAAAACCTTAGAAATATACTTCCGGCACTTTCACTGGGTGCTTTTGGAGTACACACATTCACAGCTTGTCTGCTTGAAAATCTTTCAAGCGCAATATATATCGAGGAATACTGCAGTTAATTGCTCTATACTTGTCATATAAATAGTTAAAATTCAAATCAAAAGCGTATATCGAAAATTAGCCACACTAAATGAGCCTGAAAAAAAATCCCATAATCAAGCAGACCACGCTATCGCAGACATCTGCGCTTGAGCATGAAACCTGTAAGAACTAAGACGAAGCCTTTAATTGTTTTTACACTTCAAGGCTGTTGAGAAGAAAGAGTGAAATCACTGCAAATCACATTCTACAACAGATGCGTGGGGAATTAGTCGCAAAAAGCTTTTTGTAGTACGCTGTTCCAATAAAGCTGGGATGGTTCCACTCAGGAGTAATGTATAGTCTGTAATGCATCAAACCACATGTTAAAACCCTAAAAATGATTCTTCAACTCAGAATATAACGGTCATTTGATTATATTTTGCAAAATAAATTGTAAGGTTGCATCTTTCTCGAATTTATGAAAAATCGTCTCGAGAATGCCTGAGGGACTTTTAGACTTATATCTTATTTTTTGTTGTTATTTAATCCTCTACTTGATTATACATATAAAAAAATTTATTTCAAAAGATCAAGTTGCCGAGTAAAAAATTTGAATTTTGTGACTCTTCCTGGAGAGATTCGGCTGATAACGAGTAAATACTAGTCATTTGCGAATCATGACTGATGCAGACCACTTCCAAAGATCGCAGGAGCTGTTGTCTGAGGGGGGGGGGAATATCTATCACATGAACAACAATCACAATGAAGATATTCTCCGCTTGCTGGCGAATATTTTCAATTTGATCTGTTCTGGGCTAAGCATGTTCCTCCGAGTGCTGTTTGTGCTTGAAAGAAATGAAATAGTATTCGCTACAAAACAACAGAATTCCACCGCTGCGTTGGAAGAGGAAGGAAGAGGAAAAAGTTTATAGAGAAAGCGCTGTAAAATTTGATATAGAAATTGGGATTGCTAACCAAGCCTAAATAGAACTTCTTTATGGCCAAAATTGTGTCAAAATTAGAGAATATAAACGTCTGCGAAAATTTCAAGGAGTATTTTCATTTTGGAGCTTAGTCTGTGCAATGTTTATCGTTTTAAGAAAAGCCGGAGCATTAAAAAAAAGGAGAAGCGGAAGGTAATTTCCAAACAGAAGCAAGAGGCAAAAGGAAGAGAAGCAAAGGCAAGTGGCCACAAAAATGCCACGGGGTAGCTGACTGGATCACTTAAGGAAAATTGCCTCTGTACAATCCAACAAAAAACATAGCAGGATTCACAAGAAGCTGGATTATCACTAAGCTGGAATGGGGTAGTTAGCAAAAGAGCT